GGGCGGCCTTTACCCAAAGAGCCCATCCGAAATCCTCAAGCAGCCACAGAAATCTTGTTTCCAACAGTCAAGAGAATTCAAAGTAAACTAACAAAGAAAGAAAAAACAATAAGATATTCCATTGACTGTTGGTAATTTTGTTGGTATATTTTGTCAGTAAAAACCATTATCGATGGAATCTTTTGATCGTTACAAAAAAAATTAGGCTTTCATCCACTTAAAAAAAAAAATTTATGGACGAATTCCATTTTGTCAATAATAATGTGTTGAAAATCGCCTATGGATTACAGATCAATTTTCGATCAAACAGTGATATGCACACTACTGAAAAAAAAAGGTTCCATTGTTAATAGGCCGGTAAGTTTTATTTTTCAAAAAAAATTAAGTTTGTAATTTTTTGAAACACAATGAATAGGGAAGATGCAAAGAATGCTGCCCAAAAGACTCCAAATTAGTTCCATAATATAATGATATAAAGACGACAATATGTGTACTGTAACTGCTTTTGTTCTTAATTAATCACATGTGAAATTTATGGATGCTCCACAAATTGCATACAGATATAAAGAAGACAATAGGATTGTCATATCTAATCGATACGTTTGTCTTTGAGTAAAATTGACAAAACCAAGGAAACTGAGGTACCCAATGGACTGAATATTTTGAAAATAAGCAAGCTCAATTTTTTCAAACACTACGCTGGAATTCATGGAACTTTCCATATGTAAACACACATGCACATGTAAAACCTTTTATTTTTTACTACATTTTTTTATTCAATCATAAACAATTTTATTAATTATCTTCAACTGATACAAAGTCTGATCAAACGAAGTTAGATCAGATTGACGTTTACAACAAAACACCCTAGCGGTAAAACGTAGATGACATAGACATAACACCTAATCGTTCAACACAGAACAAATTCCTAGCTGTGAATATCTTGGTTTAAATTCCTCAAACCATCAATTTCATTAAGGATATGTTCGTTTGTGTAGTTGTCAAATGTTCCAAGTAATAGCCATTCTTCAGGAATCTTTATTCCCTAAAATCACCTAAAATCAAAAAATAACTCATACCAACTCTCATGGTATTTGCTATTCTATGGGTCAAGGGAATAGCTTCAAAAATTAATAAGATAAAAATGCCCTTTCCAAGTGAAAATGGGAAAAAAAAAAGAAAAAAAAGAATTTCAATAAAAAGTTTAAATTTTTAATTATATATTATAAAAAATTAATATTTTAAATTTAAAAATTATAATTATTAATACTTTTGGAAAGCACGTAATTATTATTAATATTTTAATCATAATAATATTTAAATTATAAATAAGATATTAATATTTAAAAATGTTAATATTTAAATGATCAATTACTAATATTTTAAATATATTATAAATTATTAATATTTAAAAAATAAAATAAAATGAAAATAGAAAGTCACATATTATAATAAAAAGTTTAAGTTTTCAATTATATATTATAAAAAATTAATATTTTAATCTTTAAAAATTAATTATCAATTATTAATATTTTAATCGTAATAATATTTAAATTATAAATAAAATATTAACAATTTAAAGTGTTAATGGTTAAATTGTAAATAGAATATTAATATTTAATTATCAGTTATTAATATTTTAAATAATTTATAAACAATTAATATTTAAAAAATAAAATAAAAATAAATAATCATATATTATAATAAATAGTATTTTTATTTTTTTATCATCTATTCTTTTGTTATTCCAAAATTATTTTTACCAACTGAACATTGCAATAAGTTATAATTGTAATTTCTACCTTATTCCATTCAGTCAACCAAACTAGATAATAACATTTTCATTTTATTCCTACCTTATTCTATTCACACAAAATACTTAATTATTCCATTATATTTTGGAACCAAACATGTTATTGTTTTGGCATAATATCTGAAAAAATATATAAACTATTTGAAAAAATTAAAATAAGCCTTATGCTTTAATTACGTTTAATCAAGTACATACGTTTTTATTTTGAATCGAATAAATTTTTATATTTTTATTTTAAATCAAATAAATCTCTATAACTAATGATTAACTTAGTGAGAAAGTCATTTGTCATTCTGTACTGCGTGGTGTTGACTTGACATGCTAACATATCATAATTGATGATGATATAGCATGTTGATATATCATAAATGATGATAACGTAACATGCTAATTTGACATGATAATATAATGATGTAATATTTTTCATCCTACACATTAACATCATGTCATTGCCATATAAATATAAAATGATAAGTCACATTTTGGCTAATAACAATTATTCAATCATTAATTATAGGAATTTATTTCATCCAAAATAAAGTATAAGACTTATTGAATGCAATTATAACCATCTCTTCAACGGTCCAAAATAGAATACTATGCATTTTAATATTGATTGTTCTTTTACGTGAATACTATGCATTTTATTATTGATTGTTCTTTTACCCAGAATGTGAAATTTCAACTGAACATTTTAGGTAAGGATTAATGACCACATATATTTACTATTAGAGAAAAATAATGAAAACCCCATCATTTTGCACCCCACCAATTGTATTTTGCCACACCACAAGTATACTGAATTTCTTTTGTTATCATGGACCATTGAAACAAACAAATTAAAATGTTATCAAACTAATTTACTAAAAAACAAAATATCAAACATCAAAACCTCCATTATTTCTGTTTTACACTTAAAAAATAATTTGTTAATATCTGGACTATAATGTGAAAAACGAGTTAATGAAATCCAATAGCAGTATGGTTGAGGAATAATTATGTTGGCGATAACTACAAAACTAGTATGCCACAACAAGTCTTCAACCGGCTAAAAGAGACTTGTTATGGCATAAGAATACTAGCTTCGGTAAGAAAGATCGTGTACAATTACACAAGGAGTAGGACTGCTTAAAAAGAAATGAATAGTAACCTGACAACATAATGAAATAAGCATGACCCCTGCCCACAAGAAACATAAAAACAGCACCTTTGCAGAAACACAAAATCTTCAACCGAAGCAAAGACAAGCCAGCAAGCAAATGATCCAAACGTGATAAGCTCAAAAAACTGAAGCCAAAGGAACACTCCTCGGACCCAGCCGAGGTCTCGAAACCTTGGACATCCTGACACACGCCATCGAATCCGATCCATAGAACCCCAGAAGCACCAGCCAAAACATCCAAAAAACTGAACGGAGGGGCAGCCTTTACCTAAAGAACACATCCGAATGTTGCCAATTAGATTGGTTAAAAAATATCTTTTGTCATTTAATGTATATTTAATCACATAATTTTATGTGATAAGGGTGTTCTTTTATGTTAGTACAATAATAAGGAATTATTAAGTACTAATTGGATGAAACTCATGGAACATAAACACCTTGCAAGAGAATTATAAAGTTGTTATAATTATGAGATCACTATGCATCAAAGTTATGTTTCTAAAATTGTTCCTGATCATTGTATTGTCAAGACAAGACATTGATAATGATCTATAAATATAAATTAATTATCAAATTGATATTTGATTATGATTTATATTTATTGTCAACATGTTAGAAGCCTAATAAGTCACACACATTAATTGACATGATTAGGATTAAATAAAAATAATTAATTAAGTTAGACTTACTTGAAAGAGACCAAAATAAAGTTAGAAATTAATTAAGTTCTCAAAGACTTAATCAAATTAAAATACAACTATTATATTTAGGGTTACAAATTAATTTGGCCTTATAAATATGTTATATTAGCAAATTAAAAACTTGAAACGTCCAATCACTTTTCAGCCATTTCATAAGATAAGAAAAGAAAAATAGTTTTTTTTATTTAACAAAAACAAAATTCGGCAAGAATTTTAGTCTTTTTAGTTTAAAAACAAAATTTGTTAGCGCAAGTAAAATCCTACCTTAGAGAAAGTCTTTTCAGTCACTGTGTGGATTACTATTAGAGACCAAACGCTTAAGTGAATGAAGATTTGACAAATCCTAAAAATGAAGAAGTAAAGATTTTTAAATTTAATTGGCTCTTGATTACGATATCTAGAACAAAATAAGTAACTCTTAAACTTATGAGTGTTTATAATTTATTTTAAAGTTACATGAAAAATATAAATATTGATCTTGTAAGATTCGATTATTTTTTAATTAAATATTATTTTTATTTTTTTATTATATTATATTTTAATTTATTAATTATTTTTATATTTGAGTACGAGGTTAAATCTCAATTATTCGAAATTATCGAGTAGCCACATAAATCTTGTTTCCAACAGTCAAAAGCATTCAAAGCAAACTGGCAAAGAAAAAACAATAAGAAATTCCATTGACTATTTGTTTGATAAGTTTACTGTGTTATTCATCGTACGATTTATTGGTGATTTTGTCAGTAAGAATCATTATCAATTGAATCTTTTGATTATTATAAAAAAAATTGGACTTTTATTCAAGAGTGGCGTCCATTCCACATAAAAACAAATTTAAATTTGATGGACATATTCGATTTTGTCAATAATGATGTGCTGAAAATACCGATGGACTGCCAATCAATTCTCGATCAAACAGTGATATGCACATTACTGACAAGAAATTCCATTGCTAATAGCCGCTAATTTTTATTTTTTAAAAAAACTATGTTTGTAATTTTAGTATTGATTGTTCTTTTACGGTCCAAAATATAATACTATTTTAGTATTGTTTGTTCTTTTGCGGAGAATGTGAAATTTCAACACAACTTTTTGGATAAGGATTAATGACCACATATAGTTACCATTAGTTCATAAGTTAAACACGTGCCTACAGTATGATCTTTTTATTAGAAAAAAAAAAAAGAAAATTCAAAGGTTAAATCAAATCATTTTCATTTGTCATCATCGGCCTCCGGAGACTCTATAAATGTAGCAAGAGTTAGCATGGTCTGATCACACCACTACCTGAAATTTCAGACCATTCCTTCCTACATTTGCAAAAATGGCTCGGAAATCACAAACCATAGCCTTGCTCATCTTCTTCGTTGCTGTAGCACTAAGCAAAACCTCTTATGCCACTGTCATTTCCACCTACTGGGGTCAAAATCTTTATGAGGGAACCCTGAAGGAAGCATGTGACTCCGGAATATATGGTATCATAAACTTAGCTTTCCTTAACGTTTTTGGTGGCGGCCAAACTCCGTCTATGAACCTTGCCGGTCACTGCGACCCACCAAGCGGCAACTGCGTCATATTCGGGGAACAAATAACATATTGCCAGGGACTAGGAATTAAGATATTGCTTTCACTTGGCGGTGCAGCTGGTAATTACTATCTAAGTTCTCGAGATGATGCCCAAAGTGTAGCAGATTATTTATGGACCACATTTTTGGGAGGAAGAACATCTGCTGGTCCATTAGGAGATGCCACGTTGGATGGTATTGATTTTGATATAGAAGGGATTTCGAATTTGCACTACGATGATCTTGCCCGCTTCCTTAAAGAGAAAAGCGAAAGCGTCCACTTATCTGCAGCTCCTCAATGTCCATTCCCTGATTATTATATGGGGACTGCCATTGAGACCGGCCTTTTTGACTCTGTTTGGACTCAATTTTATAATAATCCCCCATGCCAGTACCATGATGGTGTCACCACCGACCTTATAAACTCATGGAATCAGTGGACTACCTCGATAAACGCGACGAGGTTATTTTTGGGGTTACCGGCGGCCGTGAATGCTGCTCCTTCTGGAGGGTATATTCCAGTGGACACTCTAATTTCTGATGTTCTTCCGGTGATAGCAGACACAGACAAATATGGAGGCGTAATGCTTTGGAGTCGATATTATGATGTGCAAACTGGGTATGGTGCTTCTATCATATCTTCTACCCTCGGGGATGGCTTTGTGTCCTCTTCTTAATTAATAAGAGTTTAGATGATGGAGCTGGAAGTAATCCAGTTTAAATAAATGTTCTCTTTAGGACGCTTGCTGGATTCCACTCCTGTTTGGTCTTTCAGCCATAAGTAAATAAATAATATGTGGTAACCTTTCTTTTCTTTCTTGTTTTTTCCTTTTCCCTTTTTCTGCTTTGTCCTAGTACAATAAATATTGAGAACCTTCGATTGTATAATTATCCATGATTTGGATTTTATGTATTTAAGTCTCTTGGTAACTTTGATTATAAATGTAATGTTAAATAAACTATAAATTACTTTTAGTCACAAAAGAAAATAGAGATATGTAAAAGCAATCAGCCCCACTATTCCCTACGTATAATTTCTGGAGAGAATAGAGTCATATATTTCATTATTCCTGCTCCATTCTCTATTCAAATAACAATAGTAGCACAAATCAGTGTCGAAATATCATAGATTTAAAGTATTTCAATTAAAATTTGAAATTTTAGTTTACAAGTCTTTTCACTTCAAATGGATGCAGGTGATTTCAATGACATAATTGTATCCACATGAAAAGGAAGGAAGGAAACGTAAGGAACTGAGAAAGATAAAAAGCTTACAGACAAATGGTCATGGAGTGTTGGACTTACTGATATCATAGTTATAAAGGGCTGTAGTTTACAGGTTAAAGAAGAGGGATTGATTAAGGAAACATTGGAGTATGTGAACTAGGAGGATCCAGCGAAGCCTATTCATGACAAATTGAAGCAACTTTGGCCAAACCTTGTGAACTATGAAATCATGAATGAAAATTTATGGAAAGAAGAATGGAAAGCACATAGAATGTGTTCTGATTATTCTATTAATTCATATAATTATTTCATTGTAGCCTTATGTCTTGCTGGCGATTACAATAACAATATTTACTGTTACTCAAGTATCGCTTGCTTATTCACATATGATAGACAATACTTTGCCTGGAAAATATCAAACTATGCATGAAAATAGATTTTCAGATTCACCCTTTGTGTTAACAGTGCATGGCAATGGGTGAGGAACCTCAAAATTCTATAAACAAAAAGAAAGCTTTGATTTGTTTGTTTTCCTTGTACCAGGTACAGAAATTTAATAGGTCTTTCTGCTAATTAACACCACATGCTTAAAACAAATAAAAAATATTCTCAATTAATGATATATTTCAATTACAAATTTAAATCTTTTTGTTTAAATATTTTTAAGAAATGAATTATATATGCTTCAATTATATTTGAACTAAATTTTAAATGTTCTATGATTTTTTTATTAAATCAACCAAACTCGGGTCATAGTAATGCTCTAGCCTTGCAATAAGTCTTTTCAAATTATTAATCTCATTAAAGATGTGTCACTTGTCTCAAGGACGAAATTTCTCTCATCAATCCAAGATAGTACTATTTTAAGAAAAGTAATTTGACTTTGGCATAGACCTAAGAAAAATAATTTGACTATAGTATATTTATTATATAATTTTTTTAAAAAATAAAAATATTAAATTCCAATATGAATGATGAAAGAATAAGAGTTATATACATACACATGATGACAAATTGACGAAATTAACACTTCGATTTTGCCACAACATTAATTGTATTGAATTTCTTTTGTCTCGTGGACATGGAAGCAACGTCGTATCAAAATATTATCAAACAAATGTACTAAAACACCAAATATCAAAAATCAAACTCTACTCAGACAAAATTCTTTATTTGTTTTCTTCTTTCTCCCTTGGCTAGAGAGTACAAAAACAAATGTTATATAAGACAATGAATTTCATACCTCACTCCAATATTATCTTCTTTAACATCTTCATTTACTTTTCAATTTGTAATGCATTGAAGGTAGAGTGCATTTATTCAAAATATTATCAAACAAATTTTCAATGGAAAGTATTCCGGATTTGAATTTTGAGATGTTATAGTCTATTTTTGCATGTTATTTTTGCTTTTGTACGTCAGAGGAGACGATGTAAAAGGAAACAACAAAAGCCATATGGTTGTTTTAGGATGCTTTATTTGGGATTTAAAAAAAAAACATTTTTTTTTGAATGGCATCATATATTAATAAAGTTACACAGCCTCATCAGCAGATGAGAACTCTGCAATACTAGGCGCCACAAACAGCAGCAGACAGCAAATGGAAAAAATTCTCTAAGACCAACGCAGGACAAAAATAAAACAAGGACAGAGACAAAAAAACAGGTGGAAAGTCATCGAAAGAAAACAGGGACAGCGCCAGGGGAACCCAGAAGGAAGAAACAAAACTAAGCAAGCACCTGAAGATGATCAGTTGAGAGACACACAGCCAGTTTAACAAGTCTGTTTTTGGATAGGAGTTTTGGGGGCTATGAGGGTCTCTTCTATTGTGGTGTCTTGTCTGTTGTGTTTACTGATTTGATGGCTAAGGGAAGTGTTGAATGATGTATAGGGGGCTTTCTGTTTTCTTCCGAGAAGTCGTCTGGCACGGAAATATAGGTTCTGGGATGGTAGGTTCTTTTTGCTGTTTTTGTGCACGGTGCTGAGGGTAGGCAAGGTCAGAGGAAGGTTGGGGAGATATAACAGCGGTTGATGCTGATATAATAAGCAAAATCCTTATTCTGAGCACCGTTGATTTTATACAATGTTCTGGAGGTGATCTTTTCTCAAACCCTTAAAGAAATCATTTTTGGCTCTTCCAAAAAGAAATAATGACACGACATTAATGTTTAATATAAAAAATAACACATGATCATATTATTATGTCAAATTAACATATCACGTTATCATCATTTATAATATATCAATATATCATATTATTATCAATTATTTCACGTCAACACCATACGGCATAGAATAACAAATAATATTTTGATTAAGTCAATTATTAGTTATAAATACTTATTTGACTTAAATTAAAAAAACAAAAGCTTCTTTAATTCAAAATAAAAATATATGAACTTAATTGAACGTAATATTCATACCCCTCAAAATAAATTTTTTATTTAATAATTAATATAAATAAAAAATAATAAAATGACCTCACAATTCTTATTTGATTTTAATTTAAGTTGTTCCACACCCTTTTCTCTCTTTCTTTTTTTTTTTCTGAAAATTAAGAAATTTATTGATAAAAGGGATAAATGAATCTCCTTCTTTCTCCTCTTTTGTCTTTTTATTTTTACTTTTTACTCTTTTCTTTATAACTCATTGTTAAACCATATTTCATTTTTCAAAATAGATTTATGGCCTTTTGAACTTGGGCAAAGGAAGGACAGAGATCATTCACCATTATAGTGTAAAATTAAGAGAAGGTAACATATTTTTTTATTTTCTTCCCTCCATTTATATTTTTAACTATTTATATATTTAACCATTGGGTGAAATTTTGTATATCGTATTTACCTATTTATATTTTATGCATTAAAGTTTTATATTAAGTATTTTAAATTTAAATAAAAATAAAATAAAAATATTATATATTGACTGTACTACTTTGGATCCTAGATAATGAGTTTTTTATACTTAATTTAATTGTTTATATTGAGAAAGATATTACTAACCTTTTCAGCATAGACTCAATAATTGATGAATTTGAATTCAAGAAACATCGTCGATCTCAACTTTCCTAAAAGATTATTATAAATTTTTCTTTTCTCATTTCTTTTGATTTACATGTTATATAAAATTACTCTCTGTTATAAATCTTTTATTGTTGGTTAAGTTTAATGTATTAGTCTTAAAAATTTTTAGCCTTGATTCCTTTTCATCTATGGTCCCCCTAACAAAAATTGACTAGTTCTGCCCCTGCTTAGAATCCAATTTTATGTAAAAGTTTTTGTCGAAATTCTTGCACACATACTTTTCAAAATTAATCCCATATGTCTATGAAAATTAATTAAGAAAAGCTCATTAAGTTTATGTCCTAATTTAGCTGCCTATGGTATTTAGGTATCTATTTATCCTAAAAATGAATCTATCACCTAACTCTAAATGAATCAAACATAAGCTATTCAAATCAATGGTCTAGTCTAAACTCCCTTCGTCGAGTTGCATATAGATAACTTAATCCCTTCAACTGGTGATTATGCAATGAAAAGCATTAAACATAGATTTGAATAAACCATACAATACACATCAATACTAAGCAAAGAAAAATCATACAATCAAACTACTTATTTAAATAATTCATAGTCCTAGAAAAAGAGATTAGTTCATTATCATTTCTTTAGCAAATATCACAGTTTCAAGAAAATAAATCATTTCTACAGCAAGAGAATAAGAGACAAATGAAAAACTAGAATGAAGAACAAGGTTGCCGTTGATTCTCGATCTTCAATCCTCTTCACTTCTCGTTTCCTGCCTTTGTAGAACCTTTTTCTTTTCTCTCTAGTTGCCAGTTCTTTCCTTGCTCAGGCTACCCTTCTTAGCTACTGAAAATCACATATTTATAGTCACCAAAAAGCTGTAAAAAAAAAAATTCCAAATAGTTGTGATCTAGTGAAATGCACGACTTTCCTCCTTGAGCATCGTGACATTCTACACTTATCTTTTTTTTCTTCAACCTTTCACCGAGTGCCACGACCTTCCTTCTTGAGCGCCATGGCACTGAGCCCTCAAGATTTAGTATGGGAGCAATGCTGCTTCTTTGGGCTTTGCGGCCTTAAGTCTTTCAAGGCTGTGGTGCTGCTCCTTGAGCCACCTTGGTGCAGAACTGCCTCAATGACTCACCTTGCAATGCGATTTTCTACTACCTCGACATTGATCTAGGTGACATGGTAAACATGAATGTTGTAGGTCTACCTCTCAGATTTTCAATGGTCCAAGAATCATGTTGATTGAATCTCTGTATCTCGAGTTATGTTTGAATTACCACAACCTGTTTAGTAGAAATCTACACTTGGTCTTCATTACATAGTTAATCACCATTTAACATTATGCATTTGAAAACCTATAAAAACAAGGACTAAATTAGTAATGGCTTAACATAGGACTTCCAACATGAAAATGAACTAGAATTACTTGAATTGAAATAAGTTAACATACTTTAAACTAATTAGCTAAAAACATAAAAACTAACTAAAATCAACTTAAAATATAAGGACTTAGTTATTTTAACATCCAAAATGTGGCTAAATAACTCTATATAATTGAGTTATCACACCTCCAAACTTAATATTTTTCTAGTCTTTGAGAAAAATTAAAAATAAAACTGAGATATCATAGTTGAAAACATCAAGCTAGGGAATTACACCAATCCATTAATCACCTTTAATTTCCTTATAAATTTTCTTGTTTTCCCAACTTATAGCAAAACATAAATATTGTGTAAGTTTACATTTCATTCCAATACAAGCTCATGTTTGGATGAAATTTTCGTGTGTGTGTGAAATCTCGTACAAAGAGTATCATGCAATTTGGATGAGTTTATGTTCATACAAATTTCAAACTAGCTTAGAATTTCATAAGTTTAATTTTCACTTATTTCTCCACTAGTATAGGCTAACACTTAACTATGGATCTTTAGGACTTTATTCAACTAGCAATATATGGCTAGGGTAAAGGTAGGATATAGAATATAATAAGGCTCAAATCACTCTAAGCACGTAATTATTCTAGCACCTATATAGCCTTACTTCTCTTCACCATGTATACCTTTTTCTTTCCCTTCACTTTTCATTCATCAAGCATTTTTTTTATTCTCAAATCCACACCCAAACTCATTTCTTTCAATGATAGTGGAATGTATGCATTATATTGAATTTTGAATTTTGCTCCACTTTATCTTATCCATCTATTCATTGAACCCTTCAACAAATATTTCCTTAAACAATATATACACTTAGAAGTGAGGATTGTAGGATTGGAAAATTATTTATCAACTAGGCTAACTTACAATTGCTTACAAGAGGATCGCTTGATCCTTGGTCACATCACTGGAGTGTTTCACTGGAAGCATTTTGGCTCTAAGAAATGATACCAAACCTTGCAATCACTGTCCATGGCATTAGCTCTAAAAGATATCGGTATTTTGATTAATGACAATTATTAGTTATAAGAGTTTATTTGATTCAAAATAAAAAAATACGAAAATTTGATTGAATGTAATAAAAAAATAAAAATTTATTTAAATTTTTTAAAATAATTTTAAAGATATATTTGAGCATTATGCCCATTGCATTTTAAGCATTATGCCAATTGTTTTTTAGGTAATTAATAAACCTCTGAGGCCATCTCTGCAAACGTCAAACCTTTCCGTTTAACTTTGTTGTGGAATCCACGTAAGAAAGAAATGGCTCACTGCAACATGCAATTATACCCATCTCTTCCACCGAGGGGATCTTTGCGGTGGGAGTGCTCTTTCGTTGCCGTCGGGAGGGTCTTGCTGTCTGGAATCGGGTTGATTTTAGGATGCTTTTGCTTTCGTTCAGCTAAAACACTTTTATGCCACCAAGAGTCTTTAGTCAATCAAGTTTTGAGACTTAAAGTGGCAGGTTAATCTCTTCCACCGTCCAAAATAGAGTACTATGTATTTCTAGTACTGTTTGTTTTTTTATCGATAAAGTGAAATTTCTACAAAACTTTTTAGGTAAAGACTAATGATCACATATATTTACTATTAGTTCATGAATTAAACCCGTACCTACGATATCATTTTTTTTTTCAAAAAATAAAAGAAAACAAAAGAAAATTCAAAACTTGAATGAAATAATTTTCTTTTGGCATCTTCAACCTCAGGAAACTCTATAAAATGTAGTAAGAGTTAGCATGGTCAGATCACACCACTACCTTAAATTTCAGACCCTCTCTTCCTACATTTGCAAAAGTGACTAGGAAATCACCAACCATAGCCTTGCTCATCTTCTTCGTAGCTGTACCACTGAGCAAAACCTCTTATGCCCCTGTCATTTCCACCTACTTGGGTCAAAATCTTAATGAGGGAACCCTGAAGGAAGCATGTGACACCGGAACATATAATATCATAAACATAGCTTTCCTTAACGTTTTTGGTGGCGGCCAAACCCCGTCTATGGACCTTGCTGGTCACTGCTACCAACCAAGCGGCACGTGCGTTATATTCGGAGAACAAATAACATATTGCCAGGGACTAGGAATCAAGGTATTGCTCTCACTTGGTGGTGCAATTGGTACTTACGGTCTGACTTCTAAAGATGATGCCCAAAGTGTAGCAGATTATTTATGGAACACATTTTTGGAAGGAAGAACATGTGCTGGTCCATTAGGTGATGCCACGTTGGATGGTATTGATTTTGCTATTGTAAAAGAAGAGACTTCGAATTTGTACTACCATGATCTTGCCCGCTTCCTTAAAGAGAAAAGCGAAAGCGTTTACTTATCTGCAGCTCCTCAATGTCCATTCCCTGATCATTATTTGGGGGCTGCCATTGATACCGGCCTTTTTGACTTTGTTTGGGTTCAATTTTATAATAATCCCCCATGCCAATACCATGATGGTGTCGCTGACGACCTTATAAAATCATGGAATCAGTGGACTACCTCGATAAATGTGACGAATATATTTATGGGGTTACCGGCGGCTGAGAATGCGGCTTATTCTGGAGGCTATATTCCCGTGGGCAATCTAACTGCTGATGTTCTTCCGGTGATAGAAAACTCAGCCAAATATGGAGGCCTAATGCTTTGGAGTCGATATTATGATAAGCTAACTGGGTATGGTGCTTCTATCAAATCTTCTACCCTCGGGGATGGCTTGGTGTACTCTTCTTAATTAATAAGAGTTTATATGATGAAGCTGGAATTAATCCAGTTTAAATAAATGTACTCTTTAAGCCTCTAGCTGGATTCCAATCCTGTTTAGTCTTTCAGAAATAATTAAATAAATATTATGTCGTAATCTTTTATTCTTTCTTTTTTTTCTTCTTTCCTTTTTTGCTTTGTCGTTGAACAATAAATACTGAAAACGTTCAATTGTATAATTATTCATGATTTGGATTACATATTTAAGCCTCTCAGTAAATTTTATTATTTTGTAGTAAAAGATGATTTCATTACCTTATCAAATTGAATTACATCTGAAATATATAGAAGGAGACAATTACTAATATTCAAAATAACTTAAGAAATCTTCCCTATACATGATAAAGAACCTCATCAAACACATTCCCATGAGAAAACCCTGAAGAATAAAAACCATGGGTAAGAGAAAAAGAGTACCCTTTATACCCTATCATTATCGGATTACCATATAATCAATCTAACTACCTTCAAATGAAGTTTTAGACTCTCTAATGATAACAAGTTGAATATCATCAGGCATATGATGAAGCCACCGCTTCCTCACTCATGTCTTTTGCCCTTGTAGCCAACAAATGTGCCACTTCATTACACGCTCTCGGATAATGGAGAATAGAATCACAATCAATGCTCACCATTAGATTGAGACAATCTTCTACAATATGACCCAAGACACCCAACAAATGTCTTGCTTTAATCCAAGCAACCACCACCTTACAATCCATTTCAATCTCCTTTATCACAATACTCTCCCTTTGACAGCAATGTAGGACCAAAGTAAGACAGCTAATTCAGCTTCCTCCACTGTTTGACCCGTGAGCATTCTTCTCGTGCCAGCTAATTCTACATAAATGTAATGTTAAATAAAATATAAATTACTCTTAATCACAAAAGTAAATAGAGATATGTAATTATGTTGTCATTGTTTTTAATCATAATTACCAACCTTAATTGATTGGTCCAAGTTGATTGTTAAAGCAATCAGTCCCACTATTCCCTACTCATAATTTCTGGAAAGAACAGAGTCAAATATTTCAATATTCCTGCTGCATTCTCTGTTCAAATAACAATTGTAGCCCAAGTCAGTGTTGATGTATCATAAATTAAAATATTTCGATTAAAAATTGAAATTTTAGTTTACAAGTTTTTTTACTTCAAATGGATGCAGGTGATTTCAATGACATATTTGTATCTACATGAAAAGGAAGGAAGGAAACATAAGGAACTGAAAAAGATAAAAAGCTTACAGACAAATGGTCACGGAGTATTGGACTTATTGATATTAGTTATAAAGGGCTGCAGTTTACAGGTTAAAGAAGAGGGATTGATAAAGTGTTGGACTTATTGGTATTAGTGATTTCAGCTATAACTATTTTCTTCACTACAATCTCACATCTAGAAACAATCTCTTGAATGAACTTACACTTGACATGGATGTATTTGATTGTCTCATGAACCATTTGATTTTTAGTCAAGTGTATGGCACTTTGAATATCACAAAATACAAGTATATATGCTTGTCCAAAACCAAGATTATTAACCAAGGTCAAAGCTATAAAACCTCATTCACTACTTAGGTCATAGTCATATATTTAGCTTCAGTTGTAGATGAAGCAATTACTACTTTCCAACTAATTGCAAACCTGAGAAAGTGAACACATAGCCCAATCAAGATCTTCCACTATTTAGATCACCGGCAAAATCTGAATTAGAAAAGCTAACCATATTACAACTACTGTCTACACCTCCTTCACACACTAAGCCAACATGTATAGTACCTTCAGGTGGTTTCACAAGCTCCCATGTGTGATCCTAGTGTAGAGACTCAATCTTTTTGAAAGACTCAGTATGTGTAATAGCCTCACGATAAAAGTAAGACTCATCAAACTCTACTTCCACAGATAAAACATAAGAATCAAAATCACCATCGATACAAGTAATGCTTCATTGAGATACCAATTCTTGTACCTCTTGCAGTTCATTTTAGATTTCACTATCATCCCACACGGTTTCGAGAGCATTGATTTCAAGCTTCACGTGCTTGCCAACTTCCTAGTCTGATATGTCTGCAATTCTTAACTTTATCTCATGAAGTATTGCAAACTTGTCAAAGGTAACATCCCGACTCACCATAAACTTGAGGGACTTACAATCCATACGCCACAACTAATAACCCTTCAACCCATATACACTCTGTCGGCCTCAACTCAAGTTTACCATCACTCACATGAGCATGAACATGACAATCAAATAGTCTCAATATAGAGTAATTAGTGATCTTCCAAACCGAACTTCCTAGGGAGTCTTAAATTCAATTGTAGTTAATGGAGATCGATTTACCAAGTAGCAAGTCATGTTAATAGCTTCTGTCTAAAATACTTTGGTTAGGCCAACATTAGAGAACATGTATTTTTTTCCCCTAAAAGTGTTCTCTTCTTCCATTCTACAACACTATTTTGATGTGGTATTTTGACAATAGTGTGATGTCTAATGATTTCCTCATTCTTGCAAACAGACCAAACACACTTCTGCAAAATTCCAAACCTTTGTTTGTTCAAAATCTCTCTATCATTTTCTTAGTTTGCTTCTTGGTCAATGCCTTCTAAGGCAAAAAGGTGGTCAACACTTCACTCATAGCCTTCAAAAAATATGTTCACACCTTTTTTGAAGAATCATCAATAAAGATCCATACGTATAATGATCTACCTTTCAATGCCATTGGAGAAAGACCTCACAAATCTAAATGGATGTAGTTTATTGTACTCTTGGTTTGATGAATTGTAGTGCTAAATTTCACTATATGTTGGCTTTCTAGTCTTTTGACTACATAGCAAACTATCTTTATTTAGTTTTTTAATCCCTCTCTCGCTCATATAACTCAATCTCGTATGCTATAAACGTGTTACATCATCATTAGGATCATTGGATGAGATTATGGAAATAGTTTCAATGACCGTGTTTTCCATTTGATGATAAAGGTCCTTGGATAACTTACCCTTCATGATAGTTAAAGCTTTTTTAGATACATTCAAGATACCATCTTAGTCACTATATTTGTAGCCTTTTCTTTTATCTAACAAACTCAAGGATATCAAATTCTTTTCATGTTAGGAACATCTTTCACCTCAAGTGTCCTTACCATACCATTAAAAATCTTGATTTGAATTATACCAATTCCAACAACTAAGAGAGAGAAATCATCTCTTAATTGTATAGTGCCCATATTAACAGATTGATAAGTTATAAACTAGTCACGCCTAGGACATATATAGAAGCAACAAGCTGAATCCAAGATCCATGTATCCATTAGGTTACAGATAATAACTACAAAAACACTATCAATTTTTTCAAAAGTATCAAAATCATCTCCAACCACATTTGTAGTATTTTTAGATTATTGATTTTTTTATCATCATTGAATTTGGTACAATCTTGACGAAAGGGCCTTTTCTGACCACAATTTTAGCAAGTTTTCCCTTTTGCTCTAGATGTACCTTTTCTATCTAAGCTTTTCTCTCTATCTTTTTCTTTATTCACAATCAAGCCTTCTACTTGATTTTCATTCCGAATATCACCAACTTTATTCTTCAATTCCTCAAAATTTAAAGATGCCCTTACATCCTTGAAAGTGAGAGTGTCTTGGTTATATAACATAATATTCGTGAAGTTTTCATATGATGAAGGTAAAGAATATAAAAAAATTAAGGCTTGATCTTCATCCTTAATTTTAACATCGATATTCTTTAAATCAAGAATAACTCTATTAAATGCATCAATGTGGGTATTAATGGACATACCTTCACACATCTTGAAAGTATATAGTTGCTGCTTCATATAAAGCCAATTTATTAGGGATTGGGTCATATAAATCCTCTTAAGTTTAAGCCACATTATAATAACAAATTCTTCATCCGTGACTTCTCTTAGCACTTCATCAAATAAAACTAAAAAGATAGCATTATGTACTTTTTTCATAAGGTCATCTTTCTCCCCGTCATATAAATTCAAGGGAAGATGATATTTTTCCTTCGATGCCTTCAATAGTCCTTGTTGCAGTGGCAATGTATGCATCTTAACATGTCACAAGCTGAGATCGTTTTTTCCATTAAACTTTTCAATCTCATACTTGGTCGACCAAGTTACCATAGCGAGATTCAAGTTGACTCAAGACCTTGAAGCTCTGATTCCAGTTTATTTCAAAAATTACAGAATTATCTCTAAAGAGTTGCCCAAGATCTTAGCTAATCAATAGAATAATGAAAAAAAATATCAAGCACACCTACAAGAATACAACAATTTATGTGTTTCAGTTTTTTGATGACCTATGTCCACCAACACAGCAACAGAGAAAGATTCACTAAGAGAAAAGTTAAAATTACAAGAATAGTCTCAAACTCGCAACCCTTATCTCACATACACCCAAATCACTCTCTCGAAGTTTAAGTGAGGACTATTCTTTAACCCCATAGGATCTTTTAAAGGGCCGAATACAATAGCCTTATCCTAATACAAGTAAGGTATATTATTCTAGTTTAACTAGATTTAAAGACTATCTCAAAAAGGTATACTAGTTTAATTAGAATTAAACAATCTTAATCACACTACAATTCAAGACTATCCTAACAACCTAAGAGTGCCCCTTGGAGAGTTCAAAAGTGGATAACCTAGATTGAAGTGATGAAAACCCAATTGAAGAGCTAGAAGGTGATTCACACACTTAAAAAGGCCAATTCAATTGTTGACAACCTTGCCAAACAGGGGTACAACATGCCACTAGCCTGCTGAATGTGTTTGGTGAGTCAAGTGATGAAGTCATTTGATTGTCTTTTGCTTTTTATATTTGGTTGCTATTCTTCCTATTGCTATGCATCAGTTTGCTGATCTGATACAGTTTATCTGTTGAGCCACACGATGTTTTGTTTTATCTTTGCTCCTCTTTATTTTTTTTTTGGGAAAACTTTCTTGTTTTCACTCTATTTTAATGAACTTACCAGGATTAGCTAAGAAAAAACAAAAACAATTTTATTGTCTTCTTTTGGTCTTGTATAAGAAAGTCGATCGATTAATTCATTTGTTTTGATGTAAAAACATTATTTCCTATGTTTTCTTGAATGATGGTTTGTATAGTCATGGTTCTTGTGTGGCTACTGCTATAGTCACATTACAGACTAAGAAATTTATCTAAGTGGTATCATTAAGTTAATATTCAAGAAATTTTTTTTCTCGATTCAGGATTTATTAAGAGGACTTGAATTAAATTCAACACAACTTTTTTTAGAAATATATTGTTGAGTACCATTGTTAGTAAAATTTTGTTGTTATTGCTCGAGATTTGAGTCTTGTGAGACAATTTTTTTAAAAAATATCTTCCTATGGTTTATTTATCTAAAATTATAAACCTTGTTAAAAATTACTATTCATAAGTATTAACTAAAATATTAAAATTAAATAAAATATGTTCTTACATGGAAAATTATCAAGTTCAGTAACTGATAATATGATAATTTTCTATTCATTGATCAAAACTAAATACAATCATCCACAAACCACAGAAAGTTAAATACAAAAATTAAATAATCAAATAATATATCTACAAAATAAAGAAAAAAAGACTCCTAATTTCAAGATATTATTTTACATGCAATATTATTTTTTATTAACTAGATTATAATTATGAACTCAAATTATCAAATCAATCAAAAAAATATTTAGACATGAAGCATTTAAAAACTTATTTTGGATTGAAAATTACTTACAATTGAAGCCTAGGTGAGTTGTTTTGAAAGTGAAAAACGCAACCAAGGATGGAGAAGGGAAAAGACTTGAATTTTTAGATAGGCAAAGTAGTTTAAGTTTTGACTTTTGTAATAAAATCTTAAATTACAAAAGAATTTTTTTCTTTTCTTATAGTATTTAAATATTAATACATAAATTACTTTTTGATAAGTCAATTTTACTTGGAGACTTTGACCCCACTCTATATAAAATTATAAAAAAAATGAGTTCATTAGTATATTAACTACCTTACATCCTAGATAAATAGAATAAAAATTAAAACATTTTAAGAAGTGACACCACTCCTCCAACATGGGTTGGCCCATACTTGTGCCTGATTATATTGTTGGTTCAAATAAAGAATGCATTGGCTGCGCCTAATTGTGGGATTTGAACTGCAATAGAAGATCTTTACATAGCAAAAGAGATATCAAAATTAATGGTACGGAGATAATATACAATTGGCTTGATGATGGAGGACCGACGAGGCTACTACCTGGAAACCACTAGCCCATGTGGAAGGAACAGTAAAAGTTAATGTGTGTGTATATATATGCAGCAATCACTCCTAGTCCTAGTGCGGTAATCTATTGGCTAGGTTTCAATTGGTGCAGTTAAACGGAACTTTGATTGAAAATGATTGGAAGTTGTTGTAAAATTGTGCTTTGAAATAATTTGAATATTGGCACTTTTAATTTAACTATTCTTGCAAATTGCAATTGTTTTTGATGTACACGAGGATTCAACTCTGGTTGTGGTGGGATGACTAGGTTTATTGCTTCAACTCTTGAGTTGGGGAACTTTGTGGGATTGTCTTAGTTGTAGTATGATCTCATTGGAATCAAATTGGTTTGTTCTTTATTGTATATGCCAGTCAAGCGAGAGAAAGAGGAATTATGTCTCTTCTTATACAATCTTGTGCCATTACCATTTTATCAAGTAATTTTTGTAAATTCATTTATTAATGAAATCTCATATACTTTTTTTTAAAAAAAATAATTGTATTAGTATCAAAACACTGATACACGTGTTGTTATCTCAATAAAATTGAGATACATGTACAATTAAAGAGAAAATTTTACGTTGTCATAAACTTATCTGAAATATAAAAAAATTGAAGAAAAATACATAATTTTCATTCTAAAATTACCATCAAGTATAAAACATTTTTATCTATCAGCACCAAATTGGACTAAAGAATCTGCGAAAGAATTTACTTTTCTAATAGCATGTAAATTGTAACTGTTTTCAACCAGTAACGATTATATGTGTCTTTTGGTGAAAACTAAATAGAGATAAATAAATTAAATTCAGTGAAAATTATATAAAGATAAATAAAATGAGAGGAAAGGAAGTATAAAATTGACGTGATAGTGGAGGACAATGAGGCTACTACCTGGAAAGTGGAAACCACAACCCAAAAATATCAGCAATGTGGATTTGGCAATCACTCCTAATGCGGCAATACTTTCCTGTTGGTGATCTATTGGCACTGTTTACGAAAATTAGGCTTGAGAACGCTTCAAAGTTGTTATAAAAACCCTTGATTATGTTCATTGAATCAATGCAAAAATTGGAGAGTACTTGGCAAGCTTAATAGCATATTCTCTTTGGCTTGTAACAATGCATAGGTGTTTCCTGGTTGCTGCTGTCTTAGCCACAGTGAGCTGGCTAGTGGCAGGTGAGACTAACTTTGCCACGTACAAACTCAGTCTGCGTTGGCCACCTGCTCACTGTGATGCACCAAGCTTCGAATGTAAACCAAACGTTCTCAACACTTTTACCATCCATGGTTTATGGCCACAATTCGCTGATGGCAAAGTGGTGCCTCCCTATGATCCGGAAACAAATAGATGCACCGATGATCCTGTGACCGATCTAGACCAATTTTTGGTAAGTACAATTGTTTTTGGATTTTGATGTATTCATTAATATTTTTTTCCATTGGCTTTTATTGCTTATCCATTTGTTTATTCAAACTTGTAGCGGCTAATGACACCCCTCATAGAATCTTTGAGGAAATATTGGCCAAACTATGGAGACTATCAGAATGAGACAATGAATGAGAATTTCTGGAAACATGCATGGAAACTTCATGGAATGTGTTCTGATTATTCTGACAATCCTGCTAGTTATTTCAAGACTGCTGTATCTCTTGGCATCAAGTACATTGATCCATTCAAAGG